TATGATGCCCTTACCCTCCCTCCCCCCCAAGTCCGAACTTCAAGTGTGTATTTATCAGGTTCTTGTTTTTATGCCACTGGTTTTGTTCATCTGTCTCTTGATCCATCTGCAGTTACGCGTGAGGGGCGGGGTTGGGTTTCAGGGTTTCCTCTGCCTTTGCATCTGCTGAGCCGGAGCCGGAGACGGGAAGTTTAGTAACTGCAGGTGTGTGGATGGGGAGGCTGGTTTCACTTCAGGAGAGCAGCAGGGAGCTGGCCTTTAGCACCCAGATGCTAGATTTAAAGGGGTCTTTATCTAGGGCACTACTCTGGGGGCCCCGTTCATCCCCCGGTTGTTAGTTTAGTTTCTTTGGAGAAAATCGTGTGTGTGTGTGTGTGTGTGTGTGTGTGTGTGTGTACGTGTGCATGCGTGCTCCCATACCTAGGGACAAAGTGTCCAACTACCACCGATTGGAAGAAAGAAGGGGGTGAGGGGTAACTGGGCGTGGCGGGAGTACTTGTCCACACACAGACTGTCAATCGGCCTCTTTGTGGCCCCTCCTGGGGCCTCTCCGGGTCCTGCGAGAGGGAAGCTCGGAAGCCCCCGCGGCACATTCTGCTTCCATTGTATCAACAGGCTTTCTTCCGCCGTCCGTCTCGCGGAGATTGGTGCCTCTCTCTTTCACCGACGCCTCTTCTCCACCCCCTTGCTGTTAAAGGTCTAGTCTTTTTTGAGAATTTCTCTGATATCACTTACATGGTACTTCGGGAAGGCAAAGGGATAAAAATATATTCTCAGTACTCTATCTTAAGTGGGGAAAAAAATGAATTTTCCTTGGGTAGCCAGTTTCCCTTATTGAAGGATGTTTTAATTAGTCATCTAGTAAAATGTCAAACAGATGATGTTGGGCAGTTTTGCTTAATTGGCTCAAGCAAACCGGCTTTCCCCAACCAAGGTCATATTTTTCATTTTCCAACATTGCTGTGAGGTCACAGGAGAATGTGCGCGCTCTGAGATCCGGGGGCACTTGTGCTCCGGCTGGCTTTGAGGCTGTGTTGAGCACACCCCTCTAGAGAACGCAGACTCCAAGCGACAGAGCTTCACTTGAGGCCGGAAGAGGCTCCCTAGATGGACGAGAAATTGGTTTGAAATCCCACCGAGCAGAAAGAGAATGCAAAGTGACGTCGTACAACATTACAGTGGAGAATAAGCAAGGTGCTGTCGTGGGGTGCGGCCCCGGGAGGGCCCCACCTTTGGGAGCTGATCCCCGTGCATTTAGCAGAGCACGATGCGCCCTCGCACACGCACACGCACACGCACACGCAGTGTCGTTCGTCCACTGACCAAATATCCACTGAGCACCTGCCACGAGCCAG